AAGAAGATTTACATTTTTGCATTTTCTTTGCCTCTTCTTACTTATCTGTCTTTTTGTTTTTAATCTCAATCGCTTTTTTTTTTTAATTTCGTTCAATCGTTCATACATTAGTATTTCTTATACTATTCATTTTTCTTCAAAAATCCTATGAGTTATACTATTCATGACTTTTTTTTTAAGAGCAAACTATAGATATCTCAAGGATGTGAAAAAACAAAAAAATGGGGGTGAAAAATATGGCAAGTTTAACCTGAAATAAATACATGTTTTCCAAAATTAAGTGCTAATGATGTCAACATTTCTGAAAGGTGGTTTGTACTTATTATCTAGAAGAGGAATGTAATTAAAGGCGTTTTTAATTTCTTGGTTTAAAGATAATGATTCCTTTCGTTGATGTAGAAGCCTACGGTCCATTGCTAGCCATTCTTCCTAGTATATTTTTATGGATACATACGTAGTATGCTTTTTCCAATATCTTTCCATTTTTTTTTTATATAAACATCCAATTTTTTTTTTTTGTCCAAAATTGGTCGAATCGATCCGACTCATAATCATTCCAACCCATGATAAATCGGACCAATTTTATCTAGATTTAATCATATAATGAGAGATAAATGGTTAAAGCCATCATTTCAAAACATATGTTAAGAATATATCACTCAAAAATAAAATGTGAGTTTGAATGACTTAGAAGTAATATAAATCCGTCCACTTATACTATTGATTAGTTTTATGTTGGAATTCCATAACTTTATATATCACTAGAAATCTCATATCATTTCTAGCTTAATTTCTAACGATTTTATAAAATTGTAATTGTCTGACTATTGTAATTGGAAATATATTTGGCGATGGCTAATCAAAATCTAAGTTATGTACTGTGCTCAGAAAATGACACGCCCACACCTGAACATAACTGGAAACTCTCTTAACTAGGGGGTTATTTGTTCAAATCACATATTTAATTATGATTGGGTAAAATATTATTGGACTTTGGAGTAACAGTAAATAAAAGTAGTTAACTTTATTTTTAATCTATCTAGTTTTGTACGGTCTAATATATATCACGTAGATTAGAAACATCAAATAAACGCAAAACTTTATGTTATCTCCACTTGCCAATTTGTCTGGGATCTTGGCTCGAAAAGATCATGGATTGGCAACACAAAATAGTTTCTTAGGGACAAATTTGAGGATTAGTTTGGTCTGAATTTATGATACAAAAAAATCCAAAAGTATAATAAAAATTAAGAAGAAAAATCACAATCAACGTGAGATGGCTCTCGTAC